AAATCTTGCTTAGAAATCTCCTCAGCCAGATATCCTTGTTCATCACTTACAAGTTCTACCTTCCACCAAACATTTGAACATAATTCAGACAAGTTCTTTGCCACTGCGTAAAAAGCATCACCCTTCCTCCATTGTCCAATCACATTTTCATCATTTTCTTTTAAAGCCTCACCAGAAGCACATTTAACATCCACATTTCTAGCAACATTCTATTGCTGGTGCCCTATGTATTCTCTAAGATGATAGAGACTTTCTCTGTGGCTCTCCTCACTTCTTTCTAAGCCCACACCAGAATTACCTTTGATGTCCATAATTCTACTAACAGCCTTTTCAAGGCAATCTAGGCTTTTCCTGTTACCAAAACTAAACCGATTGCCCTCAAGTCTATTCCCATTATCTAATCTCTGCCCAATGCCAAAACTGCTTCCACATTGTAGGTGTCTGTTAGAACAGTACTCCACTCCTGATACCAAGTTCTGTCTCAGTTATCTAGTGCTGCTACAACAGAAATACCACAAGTGGGTGGCTTTTACAAACATAAATTAATTTTCTCACAGTTTAGGAGGCTAGAAGTCCAAATTCAGGGTGCCAGCTCCAAGGGAAGGCTTTCTCTCTCTGTTGGCTCTGGAGGAAGGTTCTTGTCTCTTCTGAGCTTCTGCTCCTGGGTAGCCCTCATGTGGCTTGGCATTTCTCTTCCCCTGGCTCTGCTTGTTTGCTTGCTTGCTTTAATCTCTTTTATATCTCAAAAGATATTGACTCAAAATAAACCTTCCACTAATCCTGTCTCATCACAACAAAGACAACCCATTCCCAAATGGGATTATAGCCATAAACATAGAGGTTAGAATTTACAACACACGTTTTTGAGGGACACAGTTCAATCCGTAACAAGGCAATAAAACCAAAACTTGTTGCCATCGAGTTGATTCCAACTCATAGCGACCCTAAAGGACAGAGTAGATAGGTTCCAAGGCTGTAATCTTTCCAGAAGCAGACTGCCACATAGTTCTCCCATGGAAGCTGCTGGTGAATTTGGACAGGGGACCTCTTAGTTAACTGCTAAGCACTTAACCACTGCACCACTAGGGCTCCTTCTTAAGGCTATAGTTTCTTGGAAACCGAGCAAATAGGAAAAAATTAAGAATCTAGTTAGGCTTGTTGTAATCCAGAAGCCAGAGAAATGGGATTAACCTACACTCAGAAATAAGACAGATCTGAAACATTGTGCTCAGAGTTCTTATTTAGCATAAAGATTAAAACTTGATTGCGAATAATAGTTGAGGATTTATTTCATTAAGTCTGAATTCACATTTTTACCTTGTTTGAAATAAAATATCATGTTAAGTTAAAAAAAAAGATTCTAAAGCTGGGAAGAAATAAATACATTTTCCCCAAATCTTCTGACGCTGTTTTGAAATCTGGAGGTCTCGTACCAGGTAATACTATTTCTCATTGACTCCATGTCAAAACCAAATGATAATACATTTTCCTTTAAGGCATTGTTTATATGGCACAGTTCCACCATATATTGCTAACAGAGCATACCTAATCAGACCTGACAAGACTATAGCTTGAAGGGTCATTTTTCTAGTCACATAACAATGTGGACTTGAACATCAAAGGAAGAATAAAGCCAAACTGTTAGAGTTCAGGCACTTTACTAAATATTAAATGATAAATGCAGCTGATTCTACACTAGCTTCAGGGACTGTGGGCAATAAAAGAAAAGATGGTGCTAAACAGTGTTATGGATGTCTTGCCTTTAACAATCTGTGTTTGCCTTTCACCATTATAGTTATTTGTGAGAGCTGGAAATGATGAGGTAGGATGTATGACTTTTGTTGCCAGTTGAATTAAAGCAAAGGAAGTTTGAAATGTAAAACCAATTCATCTTTTTAGCAGGATAAATAGGGAAATGTGCTTTTGGTAATAATCAGTACTTAGTCACTCCTCCTCACCTACCTCCTACCTATTCCCTCTAAAAAGTGAAGTTGTGAACTTGATGTTGAAATGTGAAGCACACCAGGTGTTAATGCATTTCCATTATTGTTGAATTCTGGTTTTAATGAGAACTTTAGTTATATTATCATGCTTGGAATGTCAAAACATGCCCCAATGGCACATTTCAGAATGCCTTATGATTCATAGGTGATCACTAAGAGTATAGAAGAAAAAGTAAGCAAAGCTGCTTTTCAGAGAGAGAACTCATGAGAGCATCAGTACTGTTGTTTTGAAGTCTGCTGTAGCAGGAAACTCTAAGATGGTCCCCAGTGATCTTTGCCTCCTGGTATTCACACCTGTGTACAAGGCCCTCTCCTTTGAAGTAGGTCGGCCTAGTTACTGCCTTCTAACAAATAGAATATGGCAAATATGATGGGATGTCACTTCTGTCATTAGGCTAGATAAGGCAGTGACTTCCATCTTGTTGGCAGACTCTTTTCCTTGGTGGCTTTGATAAAGCAAGTTGTTAAGTTAAAAAAAAAAAAAATTTAAAGCTAGGGAGAAGTAAATACCTGAGGACCTGAGGGCATTCTCCAGCCAACAGTCAGCTAAGAACCCTTAGTCCAGTAGCCCTTGAGGAAGTGAAATTCTGCCAACCAACGTATGAGTGTAGAAGCAGATCCTTTCCCAGTCAAGACTTTAGATGAGACTTCTGCCCTGGTAGACACCCTGATTGCAACCTTGCGAGAGACCCAAAAGCAAAGGGTACAGTCAGGCTGCACCCAGGTTCCTGACCCACAGAAACTGTAAGATAATAAATATATGTTGTTTTAAGCTGCAAACTTTGTGGTATTTGTTATGTAGTAATAGACCACTGATTCATATGCTATGAAAAATTCTCTATGTTCATTACTGTAGCTGAAACTCTATAGCACTTACTGTCAATAAAGGTTTTTGTTTCCTTGACTTTCTTATTTTAATATAATTATATGTGTATCAGATGATATATATGCATATGCATATGCATATGTATATATATGTATGGAGCCCTGGTGGCATAGTGGTTAAACTGGACTTGGCTGCTAACTGAAAGATTGGCAGTTTGAACCCACCCAGTGGCCCCGAGAAAGACCTGGTGATCTGCTTCCGTAAAGATTACAGCCAAGAAAAGTCTACAGGGCAGTTCTACTCTGTTACTTGGGGGGAGTTGTTATGAGTCAGAATAAACTCCAGAGCACCTGTAAACAAACAAAATATATATATATGTATATGTGTGTGTGTGTATATATGTATATGTGTGTGTATATATATGTATATATACACACACACATACACATGCAGACACAGACACACATATATACATATGTCTGTGGAGCACTGGTGGTCTAGTGGGTAAGATCTCAGCTTGCTAACCAAAAGGTCGGCAGTTCGAATCCACCAGCTGCTTCTCAGAAACCCTATGAGGCAGTTCTCTCTGTCCCATAGGGTCGCTGTATGTTGGAATCGACTTGACAGCAACGGTTTGGTTTTGCTATGTAAATATATGTATGTATATATATGTATGTATATATATACATACATATATATACACACACGCATATATACGTATATAAAACATGGTTTCACATATATATATTTACGTATCCCTATCTAAGCCCTATAAGCATCTGTCTTTAACAGAGAAGCGTGACAGTACGTGTTTAAGATAATGGTGTTAGAGAGATACATTTTCAAAACCTATTTTAACCCTTTGTGTTTTCTTATATATTTCTAAATAAGAATATTTCAGAAATAGCTTGTCTTAAGAATTAGAACCTGTTAAAGAGGTTGGGGTTTGAAGAATTTACATTTATTTGAAATACGTGTAGTTTTAGATGATGGCAAGATCAGAGACTATCTCTCTTTATATTTGGCAGTCCAGCCAAACACTGGATACAGTGTTAGATGCAATCCAGTGCTGTCTTGATGATTCATTAAAAAACTCTTTCTCTTTGAGATATTAATACCACTATTTGTGTCTAAAATATTTTCCTAAATTCCAAAAAAACTGTATTATGATAAAACAGTTCTTTATAGTATACATCTGTGATCTCAAACAGTGGTCTGTAGACCCATGGGATCCCTAAAACGTTTTAGGGTATCTGTGATATCAAAAAGGAGCCCTGGTGGCACAGTGGTTAAAGCACTCTGCTGCTAACCGAAAGGCTGGCAGTTCGAACCCGCTAGCTGCTCTGCGGGAGAAAGATGTGGCTGGCAGTCTGCTTCCATAATGATCACAGCCTTGGAAACCCTATGGGGCAGTTCTACTCTGTCCTATAGGGTCGCTGTGAGTCAGAATCGACTTGATGGCAGTGAGTTTTTGGTTTTGGGTGAGGTCAAAATCATTTCCATAATAAAACTAAGACATTATCTGCCTTCTTTATTGTGTTGGCATTTCAGTTATGTGCAAAAAGAATGGCAGGTAAAACTGCTTGAGCCTTAAAGCACAAATCACGACAGTGGTATCAATCATATACAGCACCATGCACTCATAGGAAAAACAGAAAGCCTATTTCACTTAAGACTGTCCTTGATGAAGTGATAAAAATTGATTTTATTAAATCTTGACCTCTGATTACACATCCCAATATTCTATATGATGAAATGGAAAGTACCTATAAAGTTCTTCCACTCCATATCAAAGTACAGTGATTATCTCTGCTTTAAATTTGTCTGTCTATATTGAATTATTTAAGTTGCTGTAACACTACAAGTTTTGAAGTAAAGATAAGAAAGAATACTGTTGTTCTGTGCCATTACCACTGTTTCCCATCAACTCAAGTATAAATCAGCTATCCTATATCTCACTCTATCAAACATCAACCCAATGAAAAAGAAAATTAGATTGTTGAACTGTGTTGTATTCACCTAATTCCAAATTCAAATGATAACTTTTTGAAAAAGAAATGAAAGGATAAATAAATATAAAGCTGTATAGATGTCATTTTGGTATGTTGTTTATTATGTTTTATTCTTTTTTGCTGAATGTTGTGATTTAATTTTGTGTTTTGTTTCAACAGATCACCAGAAACTGGAAAGGGAAGCCAGAATCTGCCGTCTTTTGAAGCACCCCAATATTGGTGAGGAAATGTTTTCAGTGTACTTTAAATTTTAATTTAACAATTTAGAATATTTGTAACTATTAACAAATAAGTTCCTAACGTTTTGCCTTTGGTTACATTTAAAGTTTTTTGTTTGTTTGTTTATTTCTTGTGTGTGTGAAATCTTTGAAGCAAGTAGGGTAACAGAAACTGTCTCTGTGAATTAAACTTACATCATTACTGAGGCACTTACTTTTAAAAAGAATAAAGATGGTCGTGTTAATTGAATCAATAGGGTAGATTTTCTTTGATGCCGAAAGTTGAGGGCACACCAACCAGTAGAGAAACTGGGTATAATTTAAAGAATAAATAAATTTACATAATTGCTAGTTATCTTATATTAGCTTTATTTTAACTACATATTTTGTGAGTCTCCTAGATTAACTAGTTGGGTGTCATTAGAAATGTCACACAGCTTCTTTATCCCTCCATTGCCTCATGTGTAAAATGGAAATGATAATCTTTTACCTAATTTGGAGGGTAGTTGTGAAGGTAAAATTGAAACAAGTATAATTTTTTTTGAAAGTTGTATATTTTTTAAATGATAGCAGTTCTATGCCAATTAATACTTTAAAGAATAATATAAATTATTATTAATTGAATAGGGCCTTTATGTGTCTTTAAAGATTGCTCAGGATAATGATGAAGTATGGGGATATAGAACTTACGCCATTATTTTAATCAGCTAAAATACTTTTCACGTATCCTGAAAAGAGTTTATTTTATAGGCATTGATTCTATTTCAGAAACTAGTAAAATTATTTTCAAATATTACCCTTCATGGATTATAAAATAGCATAATAGTTTTCAGTTATTTTCCAGAATAAGCAAATGAATAAGTAAAAGAAAAATAGAAGGAAAAAAAACAAAGGAAAGAAAAAGAAAGAACAGAAAAATATATATATATAAACTAGATTCTGTGACAATGGTTTAGATTCTTTTAAAAAAATGTTATTGCCCCAGCTCCATCAGTTTTAGATTTTATTGTCAACTCAAATGTTTCTGGTCTAGAAGTTGTGAGAGAAGAGGAGATGATAGTTTGTAAAATCGTTCACAGAGAATGTTTATAGTTCAGGAAGGAAAGATGTAAGGAAATTTTATTTTCTTTTTATGTGTATGACCATTCAGTTTCTCTTCCTGCCTTGACATTTTCTGTATCCTGCATTCATAAATCTTAAGCTCTTAAGTGAATGAATAGACACTACCAAGTATATCTGAAACCTTCCAGTTTAGGGAGAGAACAGAACAACTCTCAAATGCAAATCTACCTCTTTACAAGTATTTCATACTGATACAAGTCTGTGACATTTCTTGGTTGGCTAAGGAGAACTTTCAAAGTATCACCCACTGTAGCCCAAAGAGCACTTTTCTTGTTTAGATTTAAGATAAAATGAAATCTTTGTCTGGAGAACTGCCATTCTTGCAAGGGGTAGAGGGGATGAATTTGTTGTTATTTGTATGTTTGTTTGTTTGTTTGGTTTTTGTTTTCATCACTGTCTTCCTATGAAACTCAGTTTTTGAGCTGAGATGAATTGCCACTGTTCCCTCTAGGAGACCCAAGACAAAACATTCTAAAGACAACCAAGCTATGAGTTTGCCTTTGTCAAGTTATGCTGACTTCCCCAGTATTGTGTACTGTTTTACCCTTTACCAAAGCTACTTACCATAGCTTCATAGACACATCCAAACTCCCTGAGGGACCGAGTTACTAGGCTGAGGGCTGGGGACCATGGTCTCAGGGGACATCTAGCTCAATTGGCATAACATAGTTTATAAAGAAAGTGTTCTACATCCTACTTTGGTGAGTAACATCTAGGGTCTTAAAAGCTTGTGAGCAGCCATCTAAGATACATCTACTTGTCCCACCTCGTTTGGAGCAGGGGAGAATGAAGAAAACCAAAGACACAAGGGAAAGATTAGTCCAAAGGACTAATGGACCACAGCTACCACAGCCTCCACCAGACTGAGTCCAGCACAGGTAGATGGTGCCTGGCTACCACCACCGACTGCTCTAACAGGGATCACAATAGAGGGTCCTGGACAGAGGGGGAGCCCTGGTGGCACAGTGGTTAAGAGCTTCAGCTGCTGACCAAAATGTTGGCAGTTCGAATCTATCAGCTGCTCCTTGGAAACCCTATGGGGCAGTTGTACTGTGTCCCGTAGGGTCACAATGAGTTGGAATCAACTCGACAGCAATGGGTTTGTTTGTTTGGTTTTTTTTTTTTTTTGGTTTGGACAGAGCGGGAGAAAAATGTAGAATAAAATTCTAACTCACAAAAAAAATAAACCAGACTTACTGGTCTGACAGAGACTAGATAAACCCTGAGAGTATGGCCCCCAGACACTCTTTTAACTCAGTACTGAAGTCGCTCCTGAAGTTCACCCGTCAGCCAAAGATTAGACAGGCCTATGAAACAAACAGTAACACATGTAGTTCAGCCATGTATACGAGACTAAATGGGCACACTAGCCTGAAATTAAAGACGAGAAGGCAGGAAGGGACAGGAAAGCTGGATGAATGGAAATGGGGAGTCAAGGTCGAGAAGGGGAGAGTGTTGACACATCATGAGGTTGGAAACCAATGCCCAAAGTCACAAAATAATATGTGTATTAATTGTTTAATGAGAAACTAATTTGCTCTGTAAACTGTCACCTAAAGCACACATACACACCCACACACACAAAAAAATAAATAAATAAAGACAACCGGGTTAAAACAAGAACAGTTTTCATTTTGACACCCCATGCAGAATAACCTCATCAGAGAAAGGGAATAGTCATACACTAGGACAGATTCTATAGTTTTGTGATGTAGATGGCATCATTGACACACTCTGACACAATATGTAATTTTTTTCAAAGGTCTTCAGCAGCCAAATGTCGTGACTACTTGGTGGCCTCACTTGAAGTTTTCCGCCATCTCAAGATTTCAGGAATACAAAAGGAGCTATGGAAATTCTGGGTCTTTGGAGCCTAGAACCTGTTTCTAACCACAAGAGAGATTTCTAGTGGTCCTAGACTTTAAGGCATAAATCATAGATTAAACTTTTAAGACACAATCACAAAAACCATATCAATATCACATATACTCATATCATTCATTCAGTCAACAAACTACGATTCTGGGAGTACAGCAGAGAACTAAACGGATACATATTCCTGCTCTAAAGGAGCTTGCATTTTTGTAGGAGGAAACAGACAATAAACAAAGTATAGGATATTAGATGGTGATAATTGCTGAGGAGTAAAAGAAAGCAGAGAAGGAAAATAAGGAATGTAAGGGGGTTATGATTTTAAATAGTTAATCAGAGCTAATTTTATTGAAAAGGTGACATTTGAGTAAAGACATAAAAGAAGAGAGGAAGCAAATCTTGTGGCTCTCTGTGGGGAAAAGAGGTGTTGCAGGCAGAGGGAACAGCTTGTGTAAAGGCCCTGAGGCAGGACCTTACCCAGTGAGTTTCGCCAAAGCTTTCCCCCAACCTAATTGGAGAAATAAGGATGAACTAATTTTCATTTTATCTTAGTTGGGGGGTTTCCATGTCATCTCATCTGACAGTGTTGTATTTATTCATGTAAAGAATAATGATAAAAACAAAACAAACACAAAACAAAAGAGTAATTGTCATAACATAGTAAGCAGCAGCAAACAAAGAGGGAATGTTTGCATTAAACCGATGTTTAGTTTAAAAATATATGGGAGTGAGCAGAGTGCTCCTGTTCCTATTGAGATGCTTGATCTACTGCTTGTAACTTCACATTATAAAGGGAAAATAGCATTTGGGGCTAATTTCCCTGAAATAGATAATGTGATATCTAAACAATATGAGATCCTTATTTTCTTCCCCTCCGTTTTATTATTTTCTCTGTTTTCTTAAGATCTGTCAGGTTTTAGAACTTAAGGGAAGGAAATAATACTTTTGACAGTTTTTCCTCTGTGAAGATTTGCTTGTTACATTTTCATTTTTTACATCTTTTTTTTTTTTGACACAGAATCAATAATCAAGAAATTACAGCAAGTAAAAAGAATTCTCTCAAAGAAACATATTTTAAACTAACTAAAAGTGGTCTCATTAAACCACTTTTTTTCTTTAATGTTATTATTCATTTATTTATTTTAAAGTAATGAACACGCTTAGTGGACAGTTTGGAAGATTCGTGAAGAAGAAAGTAAAAACCACTTGCAACCAGAGAGGACAACTTTTAATATTTTGTTGTATTCATTTCAGATTTTTTATAATAAAATGTATATATATGCTTACTTTTTTTATTTTTACAAATATCATATATATATATATGGAGCTCTGGTGGCACAGTGGTTAAGTGTTCGGCTGCTAACCAGAAGGTCGGTGGTTTGAATCCACAAGCTGCTCCTTGGAAACCCTATGGGGCACTTCTACTCTGCCCTATAGGGTCGCTGTGAGTCTGAATTGACTTGACGGCGGTAGATTATATATGTATCTTCTGAGCATTTTCCTGCCTCTTTAGATATATCTTGAAAATAAATTTTTTAATTGTCTCACTCACAGAATATATTGAGTGTGTAGCCATTGCCAGGCTATGTTCTAGGCACTGATGATGAAGCAACGATCAAGAGATGACGTCCCCATTTTCCCAAAGCCTTACATCCTAGTGCAAGAAGATGGGCTATAAACAAATAAAACCTCATAATAGTATCACAGGGATTAGTTCTATGCACAGAATCAAAAAAAGGTGATAAATCTGCTGGATGGCTACTTTATAATGGCTGGTAAAGCAAGCTACATCTGCAGAGGTAAGATTTAAGCAGATCTGAATGACAGGAAGGAGTCATCATGCTCAGGGAGAAAGATTTTCAGGCAGAGGGAGCAGTTAACGCAAAATCTTTTTTTTTTTTTTTTTTAAATAAAAGAAGCAGGAATGGGCTTCTTTTATTAGCGGAAGCATGGGAAGGCCAGCGAACAGCTATCATGGGTAAAAGGGAGAGTGACCTGAGATGAGTC